GCCAGCCACCACCAATCACCTTGCACAAGGTCGGAGTAAATTCTTCTAGATTCTACATACAAATATGCTGCAAATAAGGGGATCTAACATATCGCAGCTCCCAGCAATGAATCGAATGCATTATCAGAATGAGAATTAATCTACGGCGTTCGGCAAGAAGCCTCCCACTGATTTAATTGATTTATACAATTTTTAATTGGAAGACTCCAAAAGGGGTGGGGTGGAGAATACATATTTCAACCGGGAGCAATACGTGTATTTCATTAGAGTCGCTCCTAAGTTCATTAACAGGTGTTATATTCGTTCTGGTTACGTTGGTCGTTTCGTTTCGTTCGGTTCCGCCATTGGGGATCGTTTCCACCAGACGACCGCAGCTAACGCATTTTTTGTTTCCCTGATTAGATTAACCCCCTCTTTACAGAGAGGCTCCCGCCGTCGTCGCCAAGTAAAGCACCCAAGCAACACCAACTACATAAAAATGAGTACCACTGTGCCAAGAAACAGTAAAATTTAAAAGCCTGTAAACGCTTTTACGATCCCTATTCCTTGGTGTGCATTACGAGTGTGTTTTTGGGTCATATATCTCCCCCTATAAATGTTTGCCTTCTATGCATGGGCTTTCTCACTGCCCCCCACCCCCTCACTGAGACCACCATAGACACGTTGCTCTGGTCACTCTTGACAATAGCTTCGGTTGTGTTTGTCATACACACACACAGTACCATGTGTACTATGGATGTTGTGTGAGAGTGTGAAGAGAGAGAGAGAGAGAGAAAAGAGTGCATGTCTCTCGGGGCGAGATCAGCATCCAATGCTCTTCCACCTTATCAGCAAAGGCGTGAATTAAATGCAGCGAATTGCAAGCAAAAGAATACGAGTACAAAAGGGGAATATACCAAGTACTGGCCAAACGAGGCAGCAGCTGCTTTATACATACTATCTGTTAAATATTTGGTATACATAGGATATATAATCCAATCTGCAAGGTGATCTGAACAGGTACGACTTAAAGTTCCGCACAATTATGACGGCCATAAACCAATGAAAGGTAAATGTAAAACGAACTTTGCTCTTCGATTCGATCACGTTTCTGCAATTTGTAGGCATTTAATTTTTTTCCATTTTGGAAGATTATGTCCGTTCATATCTGGTTTCACATTTCTATAATTTCGGATTATGAACACTTAACATGGACAGGAAAAAAAACGAAACCCAACCTGATGCTACGGATAGTTAGCTATAATCGTAAATCATGGTGGAGGGGGGAAGGGTAAGGCAGGAGGAGGATAGCATCATAAAAAGTGAATTTTTGTCACTAAAATGCTGAAAAGAAGAAATTAAGAAACGAAACGCAAGACGAAAAAAGAAGCGGAACCATAAAATATATTTTTTATTGGTTCCTCTTCTGCCGCCCGTTCCTCCGTCCACGCTGTCTTCTTTCTATAAGGTTTACCTGCACACAAACACACACCATCCTCTGCCCTCCCCCCTCTTTCCCATGGGCGGCGCCGGTCGACCGTCGACCAAAAGAGGGGCCGAGTACAGATCTCTCTCTCTCCTCTCTTTCTGTCTCTTACTGATGTCATCCCAAAACGCGTCGCGTAGCGTAGCATCTTGTCGTTGCTGATGCTGCAAAAAAAAGAATTTATGACCATTTCTCTGCCGCCGCCTGTTCATTTATCCACATCGACATCCAGCAGCTCGCTCTCGCTCTGGTCTGTCGTGCTCTCCGTCCTTCCTTCCGCTGTGATCTCTTTTTCGGTTTTCTACACGCACAATTGAAAAAAACTAGTTTTGTACGCCTTGTTTGCTCTTCTTGGGATTTATGATGGATAAGGACACGGACGACATCTTTACCTGACAGTATTAGAGGTATCTAAAGGATCTAATGCTGCCCGGTAAGATGTGAACAGATGTCCTTGCGAATAGCAAAACGTGTTTTCGTCACAGCACTGTTTTCGTGTTTTCCGTTTTTGTTATTTTTCATTATTTTCTCGCTTTTTTATGTACATATTTATTGCCGGGAATTCTTGTTAATTATTATCGAGTGCGACGGCTCAAAGTTCCCAGTTTTCGAAAACCTTGGAACCGCCGCTCGTTTCCCCGATAAGAAGTTTTTTTATTCTCTTCGAGCGTTACTTATAATCGGTTTAAGTTTTTCGGTTGGGATTATCTTCGGCTCCGTCTGGGGCTGGGGTCTGCGCCAAAGCAAGGGCCTTGAAATGTATTGATTTTTCCCTTGGCTCAAAAGTGGGTTGACAAACCCACTCAGTTAAGTACTACGAAGGTTGTGCATTTTCTCGCGTGTGTGTAAACTTTAACTTTGTACCGGCGCGCGTGATGCTGATGCTCCCTGAGAGACGAGACGAGGCGGCTGGGGAGGCTGAGCGCGATGAGGAGGGCGAGACGCCTACTTGGACTCTTTCAAGCAAATACGATGGAAAGTGTACAGAACTATGTATACACACACATGTTCATACGTGCATGTGTTTTGTACATCTGGTATTGGAGACTGGAACTGAACTCGAAAGAGTGTGGAAGCGATGGCGCTATTTAGTTGATGTTATTTATAATTAAATTGAAGCTGGCGCCAGTCGGACACCCGATAAATGCAATTATTATTACTTTTACGAGTGGAGCACCTATACACACACACACACATACACGCACCCGAACACACAGCACAGGGGGAGATGGGGGTGTTTGTGCTTGCGATTTGTTGGAAATGACAGCTTTGCTGTGACACAGTTTATTGAATAGCTGTTATTCTCTTTTTTTCGGCCACCGGAAATATGCACAATAACGCCCGCGCGGCAAACACACAAATATGTACATGTGTAGGTACAGGCCGTCCACGATGTGCAAGAGCACTGAAGCTCCACCAGAACCCCACCGGCGGGATCGGGCGCCAAAAACGAATTAACCGAACGAATCGAAAAATTGAAAGCTCCGAGCGCCGGCATGGCTCGGCATGGCTACGATCTTCGGTCCGATCGCGCGAACTGGTTGCATGCAACATGTTTGAGGCAGCGCTGCCTGCTGTCAGTTACGTTTACGTGTCTTTGTCGCCACGTAACGGTTGTCTCTGTGTCTTCGGTTGGGGCTTGGAAAAAATGAAGAACAGAGTTATTATGCCTCCGATCCGATCGCGCAGACTGGTAGCATGCAACATGTTTGAGGCAGCGCAGTCTGCCGCCTACCGTTACGTTTACTACTATTTTTGTCGCCGTCGTAACGGTTTTCTCTGCTTCTTCGGCTCGGGCTTGGAAATAATGAAGAGAAATGCTCAATTATTATGCCTCTCACTCACACCTCTTTGGCGTATATTTCAGCTGGAAACATTCTTGAAACCAACCCGCTGCCGCCTTCCCTTCCCTATGCCCTGCTCCTGCTGATTTTTCGGCGATTATAAAATCGTGACACGAAGCTTTATTTCCGTCGGCGATTGCTTTCATTAACACATTGGGGGGAATGTCTTGTGGTTTTTTTCAGACATTTTAGTGTGTTTCAATTTTGGAAAATTTGACTAATAGCTGGTGCTGTTAATGCAAATCTCTGAGTCATGAGCCTTGTCCCCACGTCCACGTGTTGCCGTCCGATGCTGGAAATGTGTGAAGCACGCGTGGGCCTGACCGAGGTGTTAAATTCTTCACTCGCACACGCACACGGATGCAGAGAAATTTGAATTCGTTAGGTGTTGGTGTGAGCGTTCCGTTTCTTCTTGGTTTCTGGAGAGCTTCTTCGGGATTACACTGGACACTTGGGGCAGCACGCGGAAAATTGCAACTGACCGAGAATCCGGACGCGCACTTGTCTGTTTGGCCCTTCTTTGGATTTCCTCGAAGTTTATTTTTTTGTGAGTGGTGACTGCGGACGAGGAGGAACAGACACGTCCGTCAGAGCGCGCGATCAAAATTTGTCTTGTCATTGAACGGTTGTAATTTTTTGTACACCCCTCTCTAGCGGTTTAAATGTGATTGCGTTTGGTATGAGTATTATTAAAGCGCGAACGACGTCAGACATGTTGGCTCTCAGACAGCTGTTCTATTCGTTATCGCTCTCTTTCTCTCTCTCTCCGGCGCCGCTTCTGGCTATATTTTTTGTCGCATTTCTATTAGCTTACCGTTTGATGTGTTTTTGTTGCTGTTGCCGGGTGTGCACATTCTAGCCATCTCGCTTTGGCACGCTGTTTGCTTTCATGCCTGTTGTTCCGTTTCGTTTGCTAGCTATCTATCTCCCTCTGAGCGAACATGTTGCACCGCATGGTTGAGACGACGACGGTACGTTAAGGTTGCTCGTTTTCCCCGTCGCTACGCACTCCTGGAAAAACGTAATAGGTCATGTGGACAATTACGTGGTATTTCGGCTGGCGAAAGTGAATCTCTGTCATTTCTGGTTACTCTTTATTGTTTCCTTCGCAATGCAATGCAATAATTTCTACCCGTCTGACGACTGGACCAGAAACCATGTTTATGGTTCCAATTAATAAGAGCAAAGAAAGCCCTCGTTCTGAGCAAGGTGTATTAATGGCGTAGCTTTTATATTGTTTGTAAATACATACATACATATATAGCCCATCTGAATATTATATTTCTTAAGGGTTCTAAAATGCCTCATCACCCCTACTCGCAATCGTGTTTATTTTCTACTCTGCGCGTGCCTTAAATGTCTTGATTCTCCTGGAAATCTTTTGTTTTTTCAATTGAAAACCCTTCGCTCATTAGCAGGATCATGTGAGAGTGCAAAACATATGTACATACATACATATGTGTATCGCATTCCAGGTAGGGTATCATAATCAGCAGCCGCAGCTTACAAATTGTGTACCCCAAACAGCTTTCTGGACTTTCTGCTTTTGCTTTTTGTTGTTTTACTTGTCTTTCCTTTCCCGTTCAATGTGCATACGTCATCCGAATCTCTTTTGCGCGAACTCAAGCTCAGTCCGCAGTCCTCTTATTCGTAGGTGCCCCCCTACCCCTGCCCGACACGACACCCATATCTGGTTTATAACTATTCATTTATTGTGTGTTTCTCCTTTTTCATTTATTTTTTTCCCTCCCAATGGACACATCTTTGGGCTGGGGAAACCTTTGCAAAGCGCCCGCAGCTCATGTGGTCCTTCCCATCTTGTACATGCGTCCGTTCATCAGCAGTTCTTATAAGTAGTGCATATCCAACAACAGTCGGGAAACTCGATATCCGTTATAACGCCTCTTCCAGAGCACAGTGCGACCGTAATTGGTATTTGACAACTATGTAGGGTACATTTCAGAAATGAGTAGCGTATTCAAAACAGAGTTCGCATACGAATTCGGATGATACTTGCTAGTGAATGAATGCGTTGCCTGCATTGTCCGTACAATGCAGAGCGCCGCACACAAGAGGGTCTTGCTCAAATTCGCCCACTTTCAAGTCGCCCTTTGTGCCCTTGCAGCCACCGCCTGGAATAGTGGAAAGATGGACACCTCCTTGAACAAAGAGAATATGGAATAAGGGGAGCGAGTTACTTGCGCCTGGCTCCAGTTTTTTCCAGTGCACCAGAGAATTTGCCAATGGGATGAGCATGAGCCCCATTACAATTAAGGTAACCTTCATTTTCTCACTGGAACTGTCGTTGCAAACAAGTGGAAAGCTATTGATTGTTGGTCGCCTGGTGGCATGTGCCCTTTATAGCACTTTATACTACGATGCTCCAGTCCCCGATTCGCTGTGATTGTTTCCTGTTCTGCCATAACATTTCGCAGAAATTTTTAATACTTTTACATGGATTTTTCTTAAGGGAGAATATGATCCGAACAGCAATTTGACACACGTCGCAAGTGCAAGTGCAACTGGAAATCACCTAAGCCACCTGCTTCTAAAGTTTCCTATGCCTATCGTTTTTAGTTTATTAAAGTTCATATCTCAGGGATGCGATCAGGAAAAGTATCGTCGAGGAGCTCTAATGTAGAAAAATAAATTCTTACTAGTATTTGAAGATCTAGCAAATTTTCGATCAGAAATATGAGGATTTATTGTATAACTTTTTCTTTCGTTTAGTGGGGGCTTTGGAGACTTTGAATTGGAGAGACTTTTATATGGCAGAGCCGTATAACGTAAAACGTTTTCCTGGGAATCGCAGGTGGGTGGCCGGCTTCTTGTGATAAACTAAATATTTCCTATAAAAGAAAGTACCAGCCACAATCAAGTTTAGTGAGTTTAGAGACTGGAGCTAACTGTCTGGCTTCTCTTTTTAATCATGGCTATCCTGAAGTGCATTAGCATTCTGATGGTGGTTGTGCCCTGCACGCTTTCGTTGCTTGTCTGGGTAAAATATCCATCCGATCCACCTGGCAACTGCACTTTGCCAGACGGCAAAGTAATTGAAGTAGGTACCCATGTCAGTCACGACGACATGTGTGCCAACTATTTTTGTTGGAAGCCGGACGGAACTGCCGTGATTTCATAGTAAGTGACACACTTTGATCTAACATTTCTCGATTAATCAAAATGGATACTCTCCATGCAGCTGCCAAATCCCTGTCCCGTTCCAGGAGTGCAACGAAACGGGCGTATGGACGTATGGGCCTTATCCCGATTGCTGTTATCAATGTTCCCAGTACGTTGATTGTTGATTTAAACGTACAATAAACCTTCAGAAACACTACTTTGCAAAAGATTTGTATCAGAACTTTTGTTGAACCAAGTGAACCAATCTAATCCAAGAAATTACCAAAACAACAATTTGACACCCGTTGCAAGTGCAAATGGAAATCACCTAAAGTCACCTGCTTCTAAAGTTTCCTATTCCAAATGTAATAGTTAAGAATAGTTGGAGACATCGATCTGCAAGATATGTATATACATACATTTTTATTGTATAAAGTTTGCATCAGGTTTTTCCCGGGAATTGCAAATATTAGAAATATGGGAAATATTGGCTATAAAAGGAAGTGCCAGCTACAGTTCTGTTCATTGAGTTAGACACTGGATCTAACTGACTGACGACTGGCTTTGTCTTTGGTCATGGCTATACTGAGGTGCATTTTCATTCTGATGGTGGCCGTGTCCTGCACGCTTTCGTTGGTAGCCTGGAATAAGTATCCAAACAATGATGGTGGATGCACTTTACCAGACGGCCGTGCAATTGATTTTCAGCAAGTTGTCCATCACACAGCTATGTGTGGCAACTATATATGCTGGAATGAGGACGGAACAACCGCCTTAAATTAGTAAGTGACACAATCGGATCTACGATTTCTTGAATAATTAAAACGGATCCTGTCCATGCAGTTGCCAAGCCTCCATCCCGTTCCAGGAGTGCAACGAAACTGGCGTCAACACCAATCACGTTTTTCCCGATTGCTGTTGGCAATGCGTTCAGTACGTTAAATGTTAGTTATAATCGTACATACATATGTATGTATAATAATCTGTAATCGTATACAAATTTGTTGCTTAAATAAACCATCGTAATAATTTGCAAGAGATTTTTATCAGAACTTTTGTGGAAGTCTAAGTGAAGAGAGTTCGTTGCCGTGGGCTGCCTTGGACCAATTATCGTTGAAGAGCCTTAAAGTGGGGGCTTCTGTGTGGGCGCCCGTGCTGGTGCTTTTGTATCTCCTGTTCCCGCCACCTTGCTGCAGTCATCCTTGTGGCATATCCAACAGCAGTCGGGATAGTCGATCGTTGTCGACACGCCAATACCAGCGCACTCTGCGAATGTTGCTGGGATTTGGCAGCTACATTGGAAAGGAATCGGAATCGGAATATTACATTACAAAGGGTCGTCGATTAGTGGAGACTGGCCACATGGCTGGATACTTGCTAGTGGATGATGCCGTTCCCAGAATCGTTACTGCAAGAAAAGATGCCGCAAACTTTGTCGTCTTGCACCGAATTACCCGGCAAGATGTCACCCTTTGGTGTCTTGCAGCCCTTGCCATCTGAAATAATTCGAATATTACGTTTCTCAATAGCGATGTAGAGGCGTGAGTTACCTGCACTCTTTCCCAAATTAACTTTGTGCACCAGAGCACTAGCCAGGGCCATGAGGCCAATCAGGATAAGCAGAAGAATGTATTTCATTGTCGGAACAACCTATGGATCTGTGGAACAACCGACACAACCAGTGGAAATCGTTTGATTGCTTGTCCCTTTGCGGGAGGGCCCTTTTATAGGCCCCCAACCATTCAACTCGATTTCGCGACTGCCATTTGATACACACCTGGACGTACGCCCAGCAGCTCCCTCATACGGAATGTACGTAGTATATTCGAGCATAGTACATTCTGTTTTTGGGCGGGGCGGGCTAAGATGAGACCCGTTGCAAGTCTCAGTTTGATTTATTCGGCCATGATTAAATTAATGATTTTAAATGGGCAAATAAATAATCGAAATACAAATTGAATCAATAGCTAGCGCTAAAGTGGCGCCTCCGTCGTAGCTTGCTCATTTTTGGCACAGTTCACCTCCGTAACGCAAAGCCAACAACAATCGGGCCAATCCGCATCAGTCTTAACGCCGCCTCCATCACATGATGCGAAAGTGGCTGGAATTTGACAGCTATGTACATATATGTACGAGTGTATATTAGAGGATAATCATGGATTCTTTAATGGAATATGGGAGGGGGGGGAATACTTGCTATTGGATGAGGGCGTCGCCTTTATTGTTTTGACATACAAAAACGCCGCACGTCTTTGGGTCCTTCATCGTTTGGTCTATTTTTATATCAGTTCCCTCATTGTTGCAGCCTTCTTCTGAAATATTTCCAAAAAATTACCCCGTTGATTGAGCAGAATATGGAGGATGCAAATTAGTGAATTACCTGCGCCAGGTTCTAATTTGACATAGTGCACCAGAGCATCGACCGGGGACATGGTGAGCATGAGCCCAATTAGAATTCGAATTAGGGTGCGTGTATAATTCATTTTTAATTTAAATTTCGATTCTGCAACTGCTGATGCAACGAGTAAAAAGCATATGATGGCTGGCACCCCGATTGATGGGGCCCTTTATAGTAATTCCTAAAACTGATATAACTGAGATTCCCCACACCACAAATCGATTTGGTACCCCTGGCCACATGCCACATGCTAAACCTGAACATTTCGCGGAAATTCTCCATACTCGAATATGCGTTTTCTTCAAGGGAAATTATCCATGTGCTGTTCGTGATGGTTAGGCTAGTGTTCGTGATTGATTTCCAAAGAATTTGAAGGAAAAGCTGCCACCCCAAAACACATTCCCCTCCGAGCTCCGAGTGCTAAGTTTTTAAGGGGGTTTTTCATTTAATATTGTCGCAGGAAAGTGCGAAAGATCATCTATAAAATATATGTGTGTACGATTGAGGTTTAGGGTTTGGGGTTTGGGGTTTGGGTGGCTGTGGCTACCAAGCGTTCGCTTCCTCCTCGACTCCATTATTGCTTCCCAAGGGGTGGTGTTGACGACTTTTGCGTACAGTCGAATCGCCGGTATTGGATGCCTTCTGCCTGGCCTCAACGGCGGCACAGGCAGCCTTATAAGCAGCCTGTTTGGTCTTCTCGTAGTCTTCGTGGGCGACCTGCAGCTGCTTCCGGAGCAGTGTAATCCGGTTTTGAGCTGCCTCCAGCAGCTGCGTCTTGGAAGCCATCTCCTGCTGGACTCCTATGGCCACAGCCTGGATGTTCTGCAGGTTCTGCTCGAAGGTTTTGTGCAACTCGCTGAAAGCCTGGTACTGCTGGGTGGCCAAACGGGACGCATCCATGGCCGCCTTCATATTCATCTCCGAGCCCTGCAGTGCGGTGTTCTCCTGCTCGATCACGGCGCCGGCCTCGTTCACCTCCTGCTCCAGCTGATCGACCATCATCTGCTTTCCCATTAGAGCCGCCTCCGCTGCCTTGGCCGATTGGAACGCCTTCTCGGCCAACTCCAGCTTGATGTGCTGGGCCGCGGCCAATCCTGCTGCCCCCTGCGCCTCGTTGGCCGCCTTTGCGTCCTGCGCCGCCTGAATGGCTATGGCGGAGGACTTTTCCTTGGGATCGCCGGGCTTGAAGATCTCTTTGACATTGCACCCCGCCCCCGTATCGCACTGCTTGGCAATGCCAGCAGGTTCACTGCCAGAGGAGCTTTCCTCACCAGCGAGACGCGCATCTCCTCCCGCCGCGAAGCTAATGGGGGCAAAGTCCTCGAGCAAATGATGTGGCCTGGCCATTCGCTTGTGTAGTGCTCGATGTCTCTGCTGATGGAGGAGGTTTAGAGGTTTTGGAGGAGCTTTAGAAGGTGGGCAATGGACACCCTTACCTTGGCCAATCGATAGCCGGCTGTACTTGAGAGCAGCAGCGGCAGATAAACGAAAATAAGCAAGTCTCGCGCTCGCATGAATTGATCAGGAATGCTCAGAATTCGATTCCATGTAATAATTAATATTCTATATAAGCAGTTGAGTAGTTACTAAAAGTCGCCTAGTTGGGGATTCCCTTTCGGCTGGGACTATGTTTACATGGGGAAGTCTCAGTAGTACAGCCGCTGGTGGTTTTCTGATGGAATGTTAAATGATTTGCTTTAATGGCATTCGCACGAAGAAAGCTGTCGCAGGATTATGGGTGAACGGAACGGAAACCCATTGCGTGGTACCGAGAAGTCACAGTTTTCATTTGAATCACAGGTTCTCTTCCACCTGCTGCAGCTTACTTGAATATGGTCTATAAAAGCCAGTGTTTGGCGAGTGGTGTTAGCTGTCTGTCATCATGGTTATCCTGCGCAGCAACCTCATTCTGTTGTTGCTCGCAGTCGGAGCGAATGCGTTGGTTCACTACCAAAAATTTCCTGGCGATGCTGAAGAAGAGTCCTGCGTACACCCTGATGGTGCTATTAAAAAGGGCGAATACATTCAGCACGCAGACTTTTGTGGCATTATATACTGCATGACCGCGGATGGCGACACCCTGATTCATTAGTAAGTATCTCTACCTCCCGTTGTGAACCCGTTGAATAACCAATTCAATATGGAAATTCTCTTTAATTCCTTAGTTGCCAGCTGCCAGCCACGTTCATGAAGTGCGACGAAACTGGCGTAAAAACGGATGAAGATTATCCTGATTGTTGTTGGAGATGTGTCAAGTATAAAAAATGCGAATAAACTCGCATATAGATCTATCTATCTATCTGTATATTAAGGGTATAACAGCCAAAGCTGTATAGCAACATAAATGAATTAACATTGGTGTGAAAAGTAGTTAAAACCCATTGCTAAAAGCATTCGAATCTATCTATCTTTCTGTCTATGTGTGTGTATCTGTTTTTGTGCTCTGAGAGCGTTGTATCTCACAGATGCAGGCTGCTGCATTCTAAAGTGTCTGCAAAGTGATGAGCACGCGGCATTTACAGCCCTCGTACAGCCATAACAAAAAGAGCACAGAATACACAGAATACAACATATAGAATACGGCTAAAAACATACCAATAAGTATATATGTACATACGTACGTACATAGAGCTGCGAGCTGCTGGCTACAAAAATGCGAACTATGCCACAAGTAAATGCTAAAACTAAAAGCGAACCGCGCGCCGGCTAGAACTGACGGCTAGACAGAGGTGGACATGGACAGAGATACAAAGACGGACGGACGGATGGACCAGTGAGCAAAATAGAGAATAGTTCTTGGGGGCGCCATTTAAGAGACGAGCGGGAACAAAGCCAATTCTCAGTCGGCCATCGCGAAAGCGAAATGTCAAAATGTTAAAAGTTAAATGAAAAGAAGGGGGAGGATAACATGAACAAAGGGACGGGGAAAGTTGCTTCTACTTGGAGGATAGGGCAGTAAATTGGAGTAATGGATATATGGCTTTATTTGCTTTATGAAACCCACTGAATATTCTTGTGTAACAGCAAAAGCTTCAAGAGAGATCGAGATCTTTATATTCAGCGAACTTCCTGAACCCAGATCTCCCCTCTGCACTCTTCTAGACTCTTCTTAATAGATTCCATTATTTACTATAGCCATTGCATTTTGTAGCTCAAAGTTCAGCGGGGTTCAAGAATAGATTTCACTCGATTGCCCTGTGGGATTCATGCGCCCAGAACCTGACCATCATACATACTCGTACTGTCAGTGCTGTGCTGTGCTGTGCTGTGCTGTGCTGGGGAGGGGGAACTGTACCCGATTAGAAGGTTCCACTGTATAGAGCTGACCGACTGATAGCGTGGTCACATCGCCGCCATCACACTCTCGAGTCTCTCCGGTCGATTACGTTGTGTGAGTGTATTTCAGAGCCTCTGCAACTGTGTCAAATGGCACATAAACGTTTTGAAAAATGAAATATGAAATAACATTCACTTGCATTGGGTGTACTCGCATTTGGGAGACCGATAACCCCACGTGGCCACCCCAAAGAAAATGTTCTCGCTGAACTGATTATCGACTGACTGCCTGCCTGCCTGCCTGCCTGCCTCTCTCTGTCACATTCTTCGTGTGTCTGTTGTATGTATTTTTAATGCCCTTATTAAAATAGAACATCGATTTGTGATTACTGGTTTTGAAAATTGAAATCTGCTTATCAGCCACAGCAGCAGGCACAGGCATAGGCACAGGCCAAGACCAAGCTCTAGCTTAGCGTAGACAGCAGCAGGAGCAGCACCAGCGATAAGGCAACTGTTGCTGCGAGAGATTGTATGTCAAAGTTCAGATATGTGAGCCCTTACGAACCCCCACTATCGACTGTCAAAATAATAGACTATGACATGGGCCTGATTAGCTTTAATCGGGAGTAAAGTTCAAATCTACACTACGGTTCCGTGCATATTGTAAATACATATGTATGTACATATGTACAATGTACATACTCGTATGATTTGTGTGGACGGGACCCATTTAATCGAAACAAATGGGGCTAGTTTTAGACGACTAAAAAGACATAATTTAGTCGATCTATGTCACGGGAAACGGAAAATTCGACGGAAATTGATTTCAACTTGAGGGCTATATTTCCTGCTTGATTGCGGGCTTATTGTTAAAGTAAGATCTTGTTAATACGTGGTTAAAGTGGATCGACTGCCCTCAAATGATACGATTTTTAATTACCTGTAATTGTTTTACTATATAGAAAGCAGAAGCCTTTAACCAAAGGGAACAAAACTTATGCATCAATTCAATGCAACCCAGAGATGGGGGAACCAACTATTAACTATTACATGAACCAATAAGTTGGAAGGGATGGTGTGAAGGCCGACGCTTTTAATACCCTTGCAGTTGGATTGTTCCCATGCCAGCATATGCCATACTGATCCGATCTGTGCCTTACGGATTGGAGGCTCTCTACAAAAACATGCGAAAATTATACGTAAGTAAACCTTATGGCTCTGGGAGATGTTTGCTTCTGTGATCAGAAGCGTTATACCCACTGAAATGCTTTAATAAGTGGCCGCAAAAGGACACACGCATGGGGCCGAGAGCGAGAAATGCCGCTGGCTGGCCATAAATGAGTAATTGCTGACAATATGTATGTCCAGGGTCCAGTGACCAGTGGTCAGTGGCCATTGGAGCAGAAGCCTTGACTTGGCGTTGCGCCCGCTGTGCTGGGTTCTGTACGCGAGATGTCTATGATGGGGTCCCAGTACCATTTTTAGACAGAACAAGAACCCAAACGAGAACAGTATTCAAAAGGAGAGACAGTCTCGCGAGCCGAGTGCTCAGATACCCTTTCAGATCCATGCTAAGGGAAACTGCACCATTTTAGGCAGCAGCATATTCGTATCAAATATTGATAGTACCACAATTTAGTAGTAATAGCACATGGCAGACTATGAGCGAACAAAACATACATCAAGGGGCAATGAAGAGGCTCTGGCTAATGCTAGTGTATATGCCGGGTAAAAATGTCCATGCCAGGTATTCAATTACATACATTGCAAAGGCACCGTACCCCGCCTATTCACAGCCAAGCCAAGCCAAACCAAGCCAAAGAAAACTTCTGCAGAAAAATACTCGGAGTTATGGAGTTTTTGAAGTCGGCTTCCGGGTAAAGATGCCACCAGCTCCAGCTCCAACTCCAGCTCCGACTCTCAGCCCAAACTCGAATGTCTCTCTCTCTAACGGTTTGGGCATTGCGTTAATGATACTTGTTTGTATCTCTCCATCTGTCTGCCTGTGTCTCTATCTCGGTCTTTGACTCTGTCTCTCTTTTGCAGCTATGGCTATGGCTATGGCTTTGGCTCTGCGATGCGCACACGCCTCATGTTGACAAACTCACTTAACAAACAGTAATTTTTCTCGCTTCATTGGGCGTCTTGTCTACGGGTAAAAAGAAGCCTGTAAAGCGAGCATGCTTGCGGTTTTGTTGGCCGTCTCAAGTCTGGGCTGCCTGCTGACGGTTAAATAAATAGAAAATGCATTGTACCATAGCCGCAGCAGGGGCACGACCACGACCACTTGTACTTGGCGTTTCCATTGTCGCTGGCCGATAGAATCGATGTTTGACTTGCTCTACAGAACGATGATCGTTGGTTACGGATAAAGCATTGAATTTGCTGTCCAAAATGTCGCATGGCAGCTTTGCAAGCTTACTGTATAACAGTTGAGGAATTCCCAGAGCGCCGCGCTGCGACGGGAGAGCGTTCCAGTTCCAATATTCACACTCCTCTCTCTCTTTACAGTTGACTGCGATGCAGCTGCTGGCGTGGTTGGGAGATCTGATCTCCAAGCAATTTTGTGTACGGGAATGCACGGGAATGTAAGGGACGGGAGGGCGAGTGTTGGCGGGTTGGTGACAAAAGAGAAAATTACATGCAAGCTGCGACACATTAGGCGCGACGCGACAATAATATTTCTATTGGGAGAAAACTTCACACTTAATGTACTTTGCACAGAGAGAATAAAAGTAAAAAAAAACCAAAGCCCACGCCAAAATGTACTAAAACAGAGAAAACCTCTAAAGTTGTTGCACATTCTGGCAATGCAATGCCCCACCATGCCCCATGCCCCCCCCCAGACCAGCAGACGGAGACGCCGCCGACTAGTCAACGCTTTAAGGAATATGCCAGCAAATAATTAAAACATTTTTAAAAATAGTTTTGCCATATGGATGACGACGACGATGAGGACCGACCGACCGGCTGGGTGATGTGACGTGGTCAGGCCTCCACCACCACCACCACCTCCACCCTCCACCCCCATATCCACACCCACTTCCAACCATTTGCAGAGGCAACAAAACAAAAGCAAACAAATATTTGTCTGGTCGTCTCCGTCTGTGCATTGACCGTACCGTACCGTACCACACTTACTACAGACATGCACTCGTGCTCGTATCTGTTGTACGAGTATTTGCAGATGCAGAACAGAACGCACTGGCAGACCAGACGCAGTTTCTGCACTCCCGTACTCTGCGACAAAGAGCCTGCCTCTGACATACATCCATCCTAGCCATCTACATATTGATGTACATGTGTATGTACATACATATGTATGCCTCTCCAACCAGAGAACAATCCATTTAGACTTTGTCCCGTTCCTTGGCGGCTTTCGTCTTTCGCATTGCCATCAGCCCATCCATCCCTTGTGCCAAGTTCAAAATTGTATGCTTTGCAATTTTAGTGTTCTGCCTCCTGCCTTTCCCCAAAAAGATACTCAACTGTTTTTTTTTCTTCAGTTTTTTGAGCTTTTTGGTTGTACATATGTATGTAGTAATTGTATTTGTTTTTTGTTCTTGTGCTTGTTCTTGTAAGGTGCCAGAAATAGTTTTGTGGCAAAAACAGCGCCAGCCAAGTGCTAATGTTATTGCTTTAGTCAAAGTGGCTAAAAAGTATCTGCCAGCATGACTCTGGGCCCTCACTGTTCTGTGTGTCTGTATCTGTATTTGTGTATCTCTGTGCATCCATGTATCCATGTTTCGGCTGCGATGCCGAGCCAATTTATTTTCATGTTTCTTATATTTTTGGGATTTTGTTTGTGCGTGGCGAAAAACTTACAAATGAAAATTGTAATATTTTCGACAGCAAACAAATTTCAGCTGTCTGGGACACGTTTGTTGGATCATTTTTTATATAGGCCTGCCATCATCTGGCAGGAGGGAGCTCCAAGAGTCAGCTGCGCTGGAACTGAAATTAGTGGAGAATTTGCAGCAAAGATTTGCCACTCTCCCCCGTTCCCTGAAGTAGTTGAGCTTTTCACAAGATATACTCTACTTATTACTGCGGATATATTCATACATATCCACCTATGCTGTTTTGCCCCACTCATAGTCAATCAATTATAAAATCAAATGGGGTAAAAATGTAACAGAGAAAACCGCAAAAGCTTCCCTTTGTCGCTAATTCGTTTTGAAAACATTTTCCGCCTCGCCGTCGACGTCAATTGGCGCCACTTGCACACCCTTCCAACGGACAGCAGAGAGGCAGCAAGAGAGTGGGGCAGCAGGTGGTGCTGCTGTATGCACTGAGCGTAGCAAGAATCGAAACAAAATGTAATAGTTAATAAATTACTTAGACGAACACAGAATAATAAATCGATTGGATTAGCAATTAAAATGGCACAAAAACAAATCGAGTATCAGCGACTAGCTTGAGGATCCGAAGCTATTGATACCCTTGCACATCCATTGATCCCATGGCAGTTGCTAGACACTCGCATCTGTTATACAGTTTGGGTGCAGTAGCAATACCCTCTGAAAGGGTATGAGAAAGCAAAGCCACAAAGCTGATACTGGAACCGAGTGCATCTGGGCCAATCCAAACGAATGCAATGCAATCCAATCGAATCGCTCTGAGGCTGGGGGTCCAGGGAAATCTCTTAATTACTTGGCAGTTTGCTCTCGTCGTCGTCGCTAGCGTAGCTATCGTCGCTGGCAACAGGTGCTCTCGGGGATTGCTTATTAACTCATTATAAAAGCATTTCAGAGCGGTTCGATTCGCCTCCGACACTCGCACATCACATCTTTAGAAATGCGTGCCGCCGCAGCGACATTCACTTGCACTGTCGGCCACTAGGAGGGGTCTCAAGCGAGTGTCTCTAGGGAATTATTTGCTTTTTCCCAATAAGAAATGGTTAGTGTGGAAGTTTTGGCAAAACCCCTGCAAGATCGCATGAGTAGGCAAATCAAATTCCTGGTAAATCCGTTACTCTCTTTAATTCTCACAAATTTCAAATATTTCCGTGCACGCCTGAATCACCCTCGTGTAAATATGTATGCAGAGGCTTTCCGTACATTGCATCGCTTCTATCGCTTCTTCATACTCGTGGCAAAACATTGTGAAATGCAAATTTAATTTGCTAAATGATTCGCCCAGGCAGACAGTCAGACAGACAGACAGATCTGGGAAACTTGTTTTGCGTGAGTGTGCAATTAATGGCCGTCATTTGTATATTCCATCCATCATAAGTTTATTTAGTTAATGAGAATTTGTTCTACCACTTGCCCCGTTGGTCAGTCCCTGCCCCTCCCACTCCCTTCCCACTATGTGGAATGGCAACAAAATGTACTTGGACTGTGTCCGTTTTGAGAATTCCAGATGATATTCCTGCCATGATATAACCGTAACTGCAACAAATTTAAATAAAACTTCCAGGAAACTCATATTTAGAAGGTTCTCCAGTAACGGAATCGATACTTCCGCAGCCGGCCAGCAAGTGTTTCCCACAAACATTCTCAGACCAAAATATAATACCTATTTATATGTACAATACATAAGATAAGTTCCATATACACATAGATACATATGTATGTGGGGGAATATCTGTATGTGTATATGCGAGTGTGAATATCAGTGACCACAATGATCGTCGAGTGGAGTGCCGGGCTAGTGCTATATGATACATTTGTCACCATACATATATCGTAATATACATATGTACATATGCATATATACATATGTATAAATATACCCCATAACGTAAGCACAGAAACTGCCAAGATCAGCTGATTTCTTGGGCCCTGACTGAATGAATGGGGACAACTTGATATGCTATTTTTCGAGTTTAATTCCTTCACTGGAAAGTTGTCCATTGTCCGTCAATTGAGTCATCATCGTAGCACAGCACAGCACAGAACAGAACAGAACAGACCCCCGTCTCAGTACCAATAACAATATGCATATCCACCCTGTCATAATAAATATTAAAGGCATTTGGGTGCCGCTCTACGGTTATTGGATATACTAGCGGATATATGTATGTACATATGTACAAGGAGGAATGAATGGTGGGGGGAACATCCACTTTGCTACCCAGCAAATTCTTCTCATAATCCCCATAATATGATATCTACAAACAGAACTTGAATTTCAGCAAAGAAGCAGATGGGAAAGTGCACTTTACTTCAGCTGTGGATTGGGCTAAACATTTTATTTGGATCTGGAGCAATCAATCTCAATCAAGATCAGCTTGCAGCAGAGATAATCACAATAATTATTGGATTTTCCAACAGGCATTAAACATTAGAAAATTGCAAATTTAACTTTTACAAAATAAATTGATGAAATTTTCTAAAGACAAGGTTTGATAATGATAATTTCATAATATAATAAAGCAGATAGCAATGAAAGTGAGAGCACTCATTGCTTCGCTATTAAGCAAGAGAGCACCAAATTTGACAGATTGAAACGACCGGGGGGATATACTTTCTAATCTATTTTTGTAGTCAGACGTATACAAACTTTCGTTCTGACTGTGATGCATTGAATGGGATGGGGGGAACGGAAATACATGGTTCTAGGTTGTTCCGAAATGTTTAAGGAGAATCCATTGCCAGAAGTAGCACATTTCCTGTGTGTTCTGTGTTTGCCATTGATGCACTTTGGGCAAGTGTCAAAAGGTGTCACCCGAACCACCCAGAGGTGTGACATTTTCTGTTGTTTCTTCTCTCTTTTTTTTTGTTGACAGCTTTCGGGAATAATGTGACAGGACAGAACGGGGCATGTCGGCTACCAGAGTTGTCTTTTTGTTTTTCTACCGCCAGACACCAACTACTACCATCCATCGTGAGGTGCCACCGATGACGATGATGACGACGACGTTGACAGCAGAAATAAGAGCCACCTACAAAGTGTACACAAATAGTTGGGTACTTCTGCCACAGGCAACAAACAAACAAACAAACAAATGAACAAATATTTGCCCATAGTGCGATGAGAAAGACAAGAAAGTCTGGTGGGGAGCCCTGAAGAGCGATAAAATGGCATTTATTGTATGATAAATATATACATATACATATGTATACATATATAGGTATACTCGTAATACTTTGTAGCCATCCGATAAATGGGCTACAGACGTGTTGTCTACGACATTCGGCACAGCAGCGATAAAGCATGCAGACAGACGGTGGGGATAAGAGGGTCAAGTAATGGTAATAGAGAGGGAGGAGAAACTGAAACTGAAACAGAACATTCAAGTGTCAAAGTGACAGTTCTCGAATTGATTGCAGAGCCCATTGGACCATTGTGCATGTTTGTGTGTGTGCGACTGTGCTCGGGTGATAAATACTCCCTTTGGAAAGACTTAGCAAAGAGTCATTGGGTTATCTTGAAGTCGTGCTGCTCGCCAGAGATAGACACCAAGATAGTTGGCACATATATATGTACATATATGTATATGTATGTAGGTTCTCTATGACAATATATGTATGTAAACATGTTCTCCATGTACGATGATCGACAGCCGCCACGTGGGGACAAAGCTGTGGACGAAGTTCATGCGCAGTCAATTGTCATGATCTGTCGAGTAAATCCCTCGCATAAACCCATACTTGTGTGTGGGCAACCTATCCTCTTTTTGTGTTCACTTGTATCAGTGTGGAATATAAATTATATGCGGAAAATCGCATGGCATTCTTGGCATAGCTCCGCGTATTGGAATTGAATCGATACATAAACACCCCACAGACCAGAAAGTTATTAGATATATTTATGAATGTATGTTGGGGGCCCCCGCTGGCTGTCAAAAATCGCCAAACAAATTGAATACGATACACAGAGACGAGTGAGCCGTGGGACGGTACAGAGGGTGTGCGAAGGAGATGGCAAACTGCGTGCCTAACGAACGTAACAAATGCACCAAAGCAGAAAATAAGGAAATTTATGGACGCGTCCCCAACCAGAGCAGAAGGTGACCAACAAACACACACACACACCCCACACACACACACCTGGAGCCAGCCCCAGCTCCGAGTCGAAGCCGAAGCCGAAGTCGCAGTCCAACGAAATAAATGAAGTGCCATGTGAAAATATTTCACACGTGCTAAGGTCCGCCGCTCTAAACATGAGTTCTGGCTACAATTTGTGGGATTGTGTTGTTGCCAGGGCTGATCGGTCTGGTTGTTGTTTCGGTCTCCATTAGATACAAATCGGCGGTGCTGTTGCGGTTCATTAATTCCGCGGCGTTTGACAAATGCAGCGCCAGGAAACGACACAGAACCACAGAAACCAAGGCGACCGACCGACCGACCCATGGACTGATTTGAATACATACTCGTACATACATACATATGTACATATGTGTACATGTGTGTATCGCTTTCTGCTTTCTGTCGATGTGCGGGCCATTTGCATTTTTAAACGATTTTCTCATTTGGGGTTCTTGTTGTATTTTTTCTTCATTGTTGTTGCTACAATTATGTAAGAAAGCGCTGATATATATTTTTTGTTTGGGACATTTCGGGTCGGATTGTCAGCATTTTGAGCCTGAGCCCCACCGCAATCAGCGATAAGGAGAAGCCGCCGGCCGGGAAGGGAGCTCAGCTCAGCTCGCAGAGGGATAGAGAGCGGGAGTGCGGTGACGCGGTGGAGCGACGCTGTATAACATAACTGCACATGTTTCGATTGCCACGCCCCGTACATAATTCCAGCATACCAAGGCAAGGCAGAAGCAAAACCGAAGAACTAACGGAATGGGTGGGAGGGGGCCAGTGGTGTGTGGTTTGTAGCGTAGCGGGTCTTGAAAGACCCTCCCCGGCCCGATACTTGTGTGCCTGGCAATGTATGAAAATTAATGTTTGCAATCTGTAAAATCCTGTAAAGCGTAACTCAAACTTGCCACACAAAAAAAGTACACACACACACACACATAGATGGACTGGAGCAGGCAGCTGAAATCTGGAAGCTGGAAGGCCGCTCTCTTGCTATTAGTGATGGAAGCTTGGCCAATCGATATCGATACCAATGACCAATGATAACGGTTGCCTATCGCTGTCCTTAAATGTCCTTTGACTGTCTTGTCCCACATGCAGATAATTTCTCGATAGGCATCGGCACGCGAACTGCCATCACTAGACAGTCACCGCCAAAAGCGTTTTTGCATCGCTCTTATTTTTGCGTCTCTTATTCGTTTATTTTTGTTTGCCGTCATCTTACATTAACACCGTTACATGGTTTTATTTTTATTTTGTGCAATTTATTCGCGCCACGGAAACGTCAAGCAGTGCCAAGGCGAATCGGCAGCATACCCTCACAGCGCCTAGCAGACGGCACAGGAGCAATAAAATCCCCACCATTCGGAAAGTGTATGGCGGCTTCGGTTGGCCGCCGCTTGCTTTTGGGGATTTTTTTAAATTTTAATTAAAATTGTGGCCAAGTGAAATTTTTGCGCTCTTCGGTGTGGAAGGAAGCGCCGTTCCACGGTTGCTCCGGCTGGCCTGGCTCTACACCCCCCTGCCCGCACAGCATTTCTGCTGCTGCTGCTGCATGTTGCATGTGTTGCAGGTTTTACAAGACGGGCGACATGTACAACATGCTTGTTTCTTTCTCTCCATCTCGCACACACACACACACACACACTGGCACTGGCACTGGCAATGGCATAAAGCGAAATGATCGACGACGTTGCAAAGTATTAAAGTCAGCGCGACACAATCTGCATATTAAAGAAAAAAACGCAAAACAAAAAAAAAAAAAAGAATAACTGCAACAGCAACAGCAACTTGTTGCACAAACACATGCGCATATCCAGAAATTAATACACGCCTGACAGGCTCACAATCAGAGTGCAACTGCAGCGGAGACTGCGAGACTGCGGCTCGAACCGGACTGGCTGACTGGCTCTGGTTTGGGCTTGGGCCCAAACAAACCGTCCCATGCAGGTGTTTGGCCTGGCCTAGAGAACCGGAAGAGACTGGACAGGACATTGCTCTGTATCTCTGTATCTCTCTCTCTCGCTCGCTCTCTCTCCTGTCTCTCTCGATGTGCCGCCACTACAGCTGATTGGATTAGCTGTGAATTGTGCCAATTCATGATGCTGCTGCTACGGCTGCCTGCCACAGGCATTTCATAAGTTTCCTTTTGCTTTTCGTTTTCCGTTCGAGTATATTGCCATATGCATTCTGGTTGAACTTTTGCCACAACATCCGCTGCGCTGCGCTGCGTTGCGAGTCGGGGCGACAAATTCAAATGAAATGTTGCATATGTAACATATGCACCTCTCCCCCCACTTCCCCCACTCTTGTTCACCAGACAACAGAAACTTATTGATATGCTTGGGTTTTACTTGATTTTACTCACAAAACCAGAAACGAAGCTCACTTTGGCATGCAGAAGCTATAGATCGGGCATTCCTTTGCCAGTCATCCGATTTTGATTGCGTTATCTTCAGAAACAATTGGCTGTGCAACCGATCGTTCCTATGAAAGCCGAAAGAAATTCCCACAAAGCATACGGCAAGTTACTGGCTAATGGGGTCCATTTGAAAAAGGGTAAAAATATTTTATATTACAATAATGCCACCACCAACTTGCACTTGCACTCGCACTTGCAGCGAGTGTCAAATTACTCAAGGAAAACTCATGTACGATTTATGGAGAATTTCTGTGAAATGTTTAGTTGTGAATATTTATGCCAGCAAATCGAATGGTGGTGCGGGGAATCGTAGTACTATAAAGGGCCCAACCAATCTGGGGGACGAGCCATTAAAGGCTTTCCACTCGTTGCAACGACAGTTAAAGTGCAAAAATGAACCATTGTACCTTAATTCTAATGGGGCTCATGCTCCTGCCACTGGGCAACTGTTTGGTGCACTTTAAAAATCTTGGACCTGGCGCAAGTAACTCACTTTCTACACTTTCTTGCTCTCTTCGTTCCAAATATTGTCTTTGAATTATTTCAGAGGGAGGCTGCAAGGGCGAAAAGGGCGACATAGTAGTCCATGGAATGGAAGACGACTCGAATACCTGCGGCGTTAAGCATTGCCAAAACAATAAAGGCGACGCTCTGATCCACTAGCAAGTATCGCCCAAAATTCCAGTCTCTCGATCTCCAATCTATGATTCTGATTCTGATTCCCCTCTACCCCTCTTCTGTATATGCAGTTGCCAAATCCCTGGTCATTTTGCAGACTGTGCGGGGACTGGCATATCGTCAGCTCGGCGCTGGCCCGAGTGCTGTTGGACGTGCGTCGAATTAATAGACTGCGCCAAAGAAGAACAACAAGTAAGCCCCGATGGTCCCGTTACGTAAAACTCTTCACTTCAACCTCATGATCTGATCGTTCCAACCGGGAAAGGATCGCTTCTCGACTAGCCATAGGATTGATATTTATAAGAAAACCATTATATGCACACCCTTTACAGTTTAAACGATAATCCAGCATAATCATAAAATATGGCAATCTATTGGGCACCAAATCAGGCTGTCAGTCCTGCAGCAATCATCCTTATCGGAATAAGTATTGATGCGATGCAGATCGGATGATTCTTCGATCGGTGGCCCATGACTCACTACACGGTGAGGCGACAGTGCGACATGGCCCAGAAGTCGGTCCAAGTATAGAGAGAGAGAGACAAAGAGAGAGAACGAGAGAGACAGGGGACAAGTACGAGTATTTTAGAATAGGCATGCATTGACGAGATACAGATACAGATACCAGTCGGAGCAAGTGAGTGATTCAAGCCGAAAGGTATTTGCTCTGTTGTTGTATGGGATGACGATGACGCCTTGGCTACGTTTGCAAATATGCGAGATGGGAGATGCGAGATGGGGAGATGCGAGATGGGATAGATGCGAGGCAGCAGATACATTTCAGCGTTACAATTTCCGAAATACTTTTCAATAGAATGTCAACTGTTGAAATTGTTTGTGTTGCTGTTGCTGCCGTTGCTGCTGTGTCCGTTGAATACTCAGCCCGCTGGCAGTCAGCGCTGTTTTCACTGATTTCCTTTAGTTTGCTTTAGTTTGATTTGGTCTTGTATCTTTTTATAAATGTATGTATCTGTATGCTGTATCTGTGTTGAGGCTGCCTTTTGTAATGCAATTGAACTAAATGTGGCGACTGCGTGTGACATTTATTCTCCTGCGACCGCTGCTGCTGCTGCTGCTGCTGCTCCTCCTGCTCCTCCTGCTGCTCCATCTCCTCATCTTCCTCCCATGGCAAGCCATAGAAAAACGTCAAGCAGCTGAATCTGAAGCTGAAGCTGATGAGCATGTATCTGTATCTATCAGAGCGTACCGCCTCAACGCCACTGTCGCCGTTGCTGTTGCTGTTGCTGCCGTCTCTGCTGTTGCTGCTGTTGCTGCTGCTGCTGCCTTGTGGCCAATGTAGCGCAACCATTGATGAAAGCTGAAAGCGACCCAAGAGTTGGTCATTGAACTGGCTGCCCCGGCCACCATCTTCCTTCACTGCTTCTGCGTCTGCGTCTTCGTGTGCTGTGATTTTTCTCGCAGAGAAGCAGATGAAATGAAAACTAAAGCATTTAAGTAGTTCGATGGGGGATGGGAATGGGACGGGACGGACACCAGCAAATGGCTCTTATGTCGCGTTGTTATCTGCGCGTTAATTGTTTTGGGTCTTTTTCGGTGAGGCAAAAGGCGGCAGAAGGCGGCAACGAAGCCAAAGAATCGAAGAGTAGGAGAAATTTAGAGGAAAAAGTTCAGTTTCTATGCAGTTTGGCATAGCATAGCTGACATACCCTAGACCAAAGGGAAAACTTGGCAACGCAGCGTTTGAAGTGTCAATTTTGAAATGTGACTCGTTGTCGTCGACGTTGGTGCCGCCGAGGGTCGGTCGGTCGGTCTTGTCTTCCTTTCCATCCGTCCTTCGCTTGCTCTCTTGGCAAATGAACAAAAATGTTTTTTGGTTCCTTAGCCGCATAACATTCCCGTTCCGAGAACGGAAATACATACAAACAAAAATATAAAAAAAAGCGACATCCAATCGAACGGATTCCCTCGAAGGCAGGAGCACCTTTGCACTCCAAGTCCCAGTTGCTGCCTGCTGCCTGCTGCCTGGTGACTGGTGACTGTTGACTGGTGCCTAATGCGATGCAACGACAGGCCTTAATGCACTGATCCAAGTGCGAAATCATTTAACATTTCATTGAACTATTCCCTCTATCTGAAACCCTCTCTCTCTCTCTCTCGTCTATCCTTCTTTCTCTCTCGCTTTGTTGGCATATCAATTATTTGGTGACGAGTGATTTTAAAATACATTTCAAAACTCTGAATACTGAATCAGGGCGTGCTCTACCTTAGAGATCGAAAGGCATATAAGTTTTATGTTTAAGTGGTGGTAGCAATTGGTAGCAAGTTAAGGATTTTACGGGACACCAAGGACTCCAGCAGCAACCGGTTTGAATGCTTAAATGGAGCTTGGACCCCGCAGCGCAGTGAAAGGTGCATGAGACAGAGAGCCCTGACCAGCGGTCTGGCCTGGCCTGGCCTCATTGTTCCCATTTGGGTTCTGTAGATTTGTATTTGATCGAAGCTATGCTGAGGAAGGGCCACTAGCTGGCGGCTGATCGAGGGTTGGGGCGACGGAGACGGAGACGGAGACCAGACCCATTTCCATTCAACTCCATGCGCCCCACCTCGCCTCGTTATAAATTGCGTATGCAGGCCCCTTGGTCAGTTTCTGAATACAAATCTACGCGTTTTACATACGAAAGATAGGCAAGACGGAGACGACACCCTACACCCCTGCCACACACTACTGTATTTATGGTAAATGAGTGGAATCGGTAATCAATTCTAAGCGAGTCACTGTCGTTGGCCAGGTCGTTGCTAGGAATTGGGGGCAGGGGATGGGACTGCTCTACCTCTCACTGGAGCAAGCAGAGTCCAAAGTTTTGGGTGTGTGTGTTTGTGCGTGTGGTTGGGTTTTATAGTGTTATTTTTACCGCTTGCCTGCTCTCTGGCCTGTGGGGCTCTATTCTGGTGGCCAATAATAATTAAGATTCAATTCAATGCAATGCAATTGCAGTGCCATAAAAGAAATGGAGCCCCAATTGCATTTTAGGCAAAATTGCGTATGCAAAGGAGCAGCGTTAGACCTCCATCCAATAACAGGGAAGAAACTTGAGCAATAAAACGACACAGAAATCGAATTGAATTGAATTGAATTGCATTCGGTGCTGGGACTGCGGCTGGGAGTTGGGGGGGGAGGGCAACATAACCTGAGCTCCATTTCCAATTGGATTGGTTGCGGTCCGAAAGATTGGAACCATGAGAGGCCGTTCCGAATGTGGTCCGCCAAGAAGAAAGTTACCCGCCTCCCGCATGGCCCTGGCCCGGGGTCCCACAGTGTTTGGTTTGTGGGGCTAATTGTCTGAATTGATTAAGCCGATTGTCACAAATTGTCATATGATCCAATTGGAATATGAAATGAATAGTTAATGCTTTAATGGGATCGTCATTATATTGATAGACCTCGCGGCTCGCTTCGGCATCAACTTTCGAAAACTGTGCTGCGGCATTTGGCTAACTCAATTATGTCCGTCCCCCCGTCCCCCCGCGAATCGTATTAGCTTTGCTTCTACCCCAGAGTTGCTGTGGGGAGGGGGGGAGTCTGAGGTGGGGCACTTGTGGGTTTTCACTTTCACAATATGCGGCAGGCGGAGGCAGAGGTACTTCATGCACCCATGGCTGCTTGAAGATACAGAACAACACAAATGACAGTTATAGATACACATGTATCTGTATCTATAGATGTATCTGTATCTATAGATGTAGCTGCTAACTATAACTGCAGCTGTCAACCAGTTGTCGACGCGACGCCTCTTCTCTCCTCTCCTCTCCTCTCCACTGGGTCTGCTCTGCGGTTCATTGGCTTCTGGCTGCTTGGGCTTGCACTTATGAGAATAATGAAAATATTGAATAGCTTGGCCTGGCCGCCTTTTCGGGGCGATACTCGGTACACTCGCTGGTGTCCCGAGTATCTGCGGGTCTTTTGTGCGGCCATGAGGTAAAAGAATTATGACCGTGCAAGTTATTAATCATTTGTGTGTGACGTTGTAAATGCTCACGCCTTCCAGCCAGCCCCCCACCACCCCACCACTCCGCAGGGGCCTTGGGGCGTGAAAGTCATAATAATTTATTCAGCATAGACACATAACTTTTAAATCTAACAAAAACCAACAACAAAACAAAAAATGGCTAGAGAGAGAATTATAAAGAGAGCGAGCGAGAGAGAGTGGGGGAGTGCTACGGTCACTTACAGCACGTGCTGCGCTCCTCCACCCCCACAGCCCATAAATAAATATTATTTCGAAGCAAGCAAACAGCACAAAAAAGTGACAATAAATTTGACTTAACATCAATTAAAATACTCTCCATACCTGTGCGTCTGTGCACTGTCCGCTATTTAAATTGGAACCTAAATAGATGTTGTCGAAAATAATTTAAAATGAATTCCTTTGGAAACAGAGCTGGTACAGAACTTGCTAATCGAATCGGCAAAGCATTTCAACAGGAGCCTGGGTACTAATTGGGTTGCTGGTATTGTTCTATTTAATTTGTAGTTTCAATGCTCGTTTAACTGTGGAATTTGCATATCTGGGGGCGGGGCTTAGCTAACAGAAATCTGTTCAATTTGGAGCAGGTTTTCCACCAACCAAATACACATATAAAATAATCAAAAATATCTCTCAGGTGGTTCGAGCCACTTGCATTGGGAATATGATAAATTAGCAATCGAGCTGCGGCACCCCTGCCAGAGCGAGTGTTGCAGCTGCTTCGCCGGCCATTTCGAGATCTGTTCGGTCCACTCGGCGAACGGGGAAGCAATTAGAATAAATTAAGAAAAGACAAAAAACGTTTTGGTACAGGTGAAATCCAGGTGCCGCAGACCACAAATGTAAATGACAGAAAAAAAAGCCGAAAAAGCCAAAAAGCAACAAACACCGATACAGATACAGATACAGATACAGCTACAGATGCCAGATACATTGAGCACAAAATCTGAATTCGAACCGTTTGAATCCAAATTGAGGTTTAATTTTCATTGTCTCTGTGCCTGTGTTAGCAGTAGAATATGGAACGAGAGAAAGACAAAAACCCGTTCTGATTTTGAGATCGGCTAGATTTCCAAGTCCCCCTACCATCCCTACCCAACCTCCATCCCTTCCTCCCTCCCTCCCTCTCTCTTGGGGATACTTTTAAATCTTTTATATAGCGGACCGCTTTCGTTGGTCACTTTTGTTGACTTAATTTATTGACATTAGTGTTTCTCTTTCTATTTCTATTTGGATTTCGATTTGGACTGGGATTTGGTTTTCTTATTTTGCTGCTGCTGCTGCTGCTGCTGCTGCGGTTGTTGGTATTTTTGATTTCTGTTTTATTTTATTTGATTATAGCTCTTGATTTGCCTTTTATGTAAAAAT